GGCAACTTGGCAAGACCTCATTTCTACAATAAATAAAAAATTAGCCGGGCATGGTAGTGCGCTCCTGTAGTTCTGGCTACTTGGAAGGCTAATGTGGAAGGATCGTCAGAGCTCAGTTGGTCAACACTGGTGTGGCAGTGAGTGTGCCACTGCACTCCAGTCTGGGAGACAGAGTGAGGTTCCAATTAAAAAAAAAAAAAAAAAAAGTCCCAAATACCTACAGGTGATATATCTATATCTATATCTATATCTATCTATCTATCTATCTATCTATCTATCTATCTACCTATCTATCTATCTTCTTCTATTTTGATCGATCTATCTATCTGTCTATCTATCTTCTTCTTCTATTTTGATCTATCTATCTCAAAAGGTATGGTTCCAGAGCTGGCACAGAGTAACTGAGGGTAAAAAGTTAAAGTGATCATTTAATTCAACTCTTCACTTTATAGCTGAAGCTCAGAGAGGCAAAATCACTTACTCAGAGGCACATAGCCAGGAAGGGTAGAGCCAGAAACTAAAACTCAAGGCTCTCATCTCAGCCAAGGTCTCCGCCAGCCTATCATGCTGACCCAATGAAAATCAACATGCTGTCTATGGGAAGAGAGAGGACTACTCAACATTTTTACCAACTAGTCTAGAACAGGTACCGACCAGTAGGGAATGTCAGGCTGTACGTGATACCACTGACTCATGGCTGAATATAAGCCATGGCTGTTTCTACACCTGCAGCTACCTGGCAAGAGCTCCAGTTCTTGAACTAATCATAATGGCTGTCAGTGAAATCTGCCAACTGTTCCATCTCCTGGGAGATAACTGTGCATTTACACTATGGCATGTCTACTCTCACCCCCTCTCAGTTCTATAGGCAGAGAGAAAGAGTATGTGTCTGTGGGTGTGAGTGTGGTGGCAGCACTAAATGCCAGAGGGCTGTTACATTGGAACAAGATGACAAAAAGGCTGATTGCTGTGAACATGCATTCATCTGTCAGAGACAGTGTAAAATAAACCCCCTGATTAAAGGCATTATCCAAATCACAGCCATGGCCCTGAAACGGACACCAAGCGTGGGTGGAGGAAACAAGATGGGTGTCCCCCTTTTCCCAAGCCTGGTGTCAGAAGAATCAGCTCCAGGAAAGACCTGCTACATCACCTCTTTTCTGAGCCAGCAGGAGGGTGAACCCACACTGTCAATGATCAAGGATGGAGTTTCAAAGTGAGTCACAAGGTCCCATGCACTCCCTCAGGGAGATGCTACTCCAGCTTAGTGTTTATGTACTTAGTGGAAGGGGGTGGCTTCTCTCCCAGGCAATACCTCAGCACGCCGCTGCCCTCTGTGTTGTGTAATCTGACCTCAGTTTTCTCCTATGCAGAATGGGGATGCCACCACATATGGTAAACAATTCACGGAGCAGACAGTGAGGTGGGGAGTAAGATTGTCCTCTAAGGCAGCGGTTCCCAAAATTTTCAGCATCAGGGACTGGTTTCATGGAAGACAATTTTTCCTCAACGTAGCGGCAGCGAGGGGGAGGGGACGACACGGTTTCAGGATGATTCAAGTACATAACATTTATTGTGCGCTTTATTTCTATTATTATTACATTGTAATATAAAACAAAATAATTATACAACTCACCATTAAAAAGAAGAGGTGCTGATGAAAGTGGTAAATAAAATAATGGGCAGACCACGTGTGGACTAAAGTAAGTGTCAGATTCTGTCTTAAAGCCTGCCACCAGATGCAGCTGTACAACTGAAGTTTTGATATGAGTATGCAAGCAATTGATTTATTATGGTCTCTGTGTAGTCAAACCTCACTGCTGATGTTAACCTGTATTTGTGGCTGCTCCCAAGTGCTAGCATCACCACCTCAGCTCCACTTCAGCCCACCAGGCATTAGATTTTCATAAGGAGCATACAACCTAGATACCTTGCGTGTGCAGTTCACAATAGGATGAGTGCTATAATAATGCCACCACTGATCTGACAGAAGATGGAGCTCAGGCAGTAATTTGAGCAATGGGGAGCAGCTGTGTGACATTTTCCTCAAAGAACTAAAAATTAAATGTCCATATGATCCAGCAATCTCACTTCTGGGAATATATCATCCTACCAAAAAGGCATCCACACACATATGTTCATTGTAGCGCTCTTCACAATAGCAAAAACATGGAACCATTCCAGATGCCCATCAAAAGTAGACTGGATAAAGATGGAATATTACATACACAGCAGTGAAGAAGAACAAAATCATGTCCTTTGCAGCAACATGGATGCAGGTTGATACCATCAAACTAACTGAATTGTCATAGAAACAAACAAACAAAAACTGAATACCTCATGTTCTCACTCATAAGCAGGCCCTGATCACTGGTCACATGAGCGCAAAGGTGGGAACAACACACATGGACACTGAAGGAGGGAGAGAAAGAGGGAAAAGGGATAAGGGCACATGACAACACACAGGGTACCAAGCTCACTCTCGGGGGAGAGAGGACCCATTAGAAGCCCAAACCTCACCTGCATACATTTACTTATATAGTTAATCCTCACATGTGCCCCACAACTCAAAATAAAATAAAACAAAACAAAATAAAAGTATCCTAAAGGAAGACTAATAAAAACAATGTCAGAAAGGGACGTGCATTGGGGTAGTGAGGAGATTCTGAGAGTGTTAGCTATGAATATACAGAAGCTAGAGTGTCACGGTGGAAAATCCTGGAAAGGTCTATGGAACAGACTCCAGGAACAGCATCTTCCCAATAGGACTGCTGTGCACATCCAGTGGACACACTGATTGCAGAGCCCAAGACCTGCAAACATGCCTGTCATACAAAAAGCTGACTTGTTCATTCTGCCACTTACCTCTGATAATTCGCCTTCTGCCATCACCTGCCTCCAATGGAAAGAAGATGTACTTGTCAGGCTAATATGGGTATCTGGTCTGGGAGGCTGTTCCATTTCTCAGAGGGAATTAAGAAACCCAGCCTCCTTGGAGTTGTGTTAGTGTGAGTTAGCATCCTAAGGTTCATAGCTTCAAAACTGATGAGTCTGAGTTTCTGACTCTGAATGGCTGACAGCTCAACCCCTGGCAAGGAAGCAGGCAGTTCAGTGAGGAACACATCTGTGTGGCTACTTTCCCCAGGTGACTGACTGGGTGCCATGAATACTGACCAAGAAAAACGTCCAGAAAGACTGATGAAGGGATAGGTGATAATGGGTGTGAAAGCATCACGCAGCCTGGAAAGCGCCCACAAACGCAATCATTTTATCCACTGGCACATGAGGGCATTCAGCCACCAGTCCCCTCAAAGGAAGGGCTGAGCAAAGCAATCTGACACAGGACAAAAGCCAAGCTGGGGCTCATCCTGGTGTGATGCATCATAAGCTTGGACTGCGCTGGCCCATTTTCTTTCCTCTTAGACTATCTCTTGTCCAAATTCACATTGTTGTCATCCATCATTTCTTCCACTGGGGTCCAGGGACTTGATAGGCCTCAGCTTGCTTCTGCAACTCTCCTGCTCAAGAGCTTCTGGGAGGCCAATGCTGTAAAAAATTGTCCCATGGCTAACCACAGTGTACATCTATGTGGGAGAAGGCAAAAGAGATGTCCCAGGGTAAGAACAAGATGAGGGCCATGGTCCCCATTACGGAGGCTGATAAAAGTCAACATATTTAATACACTACTGCAAATTCTACACACTTGAATTTTGAAGAAGTTAGTTCTTTATAAACAGATGTCTGTTTTTTTCTACATACTTCCAACCTCCTAGCCATAAAAGACTTTCTTTATATAATCACCAATAAAGATATTTAGGGAACATGAGAGAATAAGTTCTGGATTAATATATAGGAGACCTTTATAAAAGTCCGGAGCTGTGCAGAGATGGAAGCAGCTGCCTCAGGAAGTAGTAAATTTCTCATCACTCAAGGTGTCCAATCACACATTGGACAATGTCTTTAGAGAAGATGCTACAGAGAAGATGTAAGTCTTCTCTTTAGATCCCTCTCAACCACAGGATTCTCCAAATTTGTGTTGCCTATTATGATGTATTTGTCTTTACCTTCTGTAACCTCCACACTCTCCCCATTAAGTCTCCAAGCTCTTGAGTCCTGTGTGAATTAAGAGCAACTTAGATTTGGAAACAAAGGAAGCTCAGGAGGTCGATCTAGGATCATGCTGTGGTAAGATCATGAATAAGTGTAAAACAAAGGCATCATAAATAGAAACAAAGGCATCATCAGAGTCAAGAAACAGAAAACAAAGACTCTACAAGTATCATCAACAAGCCAAGCTCTTTTCTGTTGCTCTTTGAAAACACACATCCCCCCCTCCACATGAATCTAGCCTCTCCAAGGGGTTGACATTACTCTGCCATAACACATACAACAGACACAAAACAGATGAATGTTTAAACAACATATGCTCACTTGCTTGCTTGCTTGTCTCACCCCAACTCAGAAGAATGCCCGTGGTATGTATCGGTCTCCTCCTCTCCCCTCCACCTTGGCCACACCCCACTCTTCCTGCACAATGAACAGCAGCGGTGGCTGTGTCCTGAGGGACTATTTGAATGTGGCATGACAGGAGGACACAAGGACACACAACGGGAACCACAAAGAGGGATAGCTGCTGAAGGAGCCTCTTTTTGTTCTCTCATCGCACTGAACTCTGTTACTTATTGTCACTTAAGTCGAAAATATTTCACAAGATCAAGGATCAAAGGTAAAAGTATGAAAATGGAAAAGAGGGTATGAAGGCAGGGATTTAGGTGGTGACTCCTGTCACTTGTGGTACTAGGATGGATTGAGTCAACTGGTTGGCCCTGCCTCATTCTTCACTCCGCTGCAACTTCTCAACACTGTTGCTGGCCAAAGCAAAAGAGCTTGCCAGACAAGGGAGGGATTCTGTCTAGAGTGTGGACTAGAAGGAAAAGGTTTCCCATACCTATCTTCCCTGCTGCCCTCTTTATCACAGTTTCTGGTTCAGAGCCACTTACCTTTTTCTTCTTCTTCAAAATCACTTTCACTCCATCCACTGAAACCATAATGCTCACTTTCTTCTTCTTGATGTTCTTGGCTTTAAACTCATACTGCAAGTGAGAAGAAAACAAAGAAATGCAATCCAATTAGACCAGTGTGTCTACATAGGCCCAGTGAGCCCATGGTCTGGAAAAGAGAACCACAGACAGGTAGGGGGAGCTGGTACAGTTCTGGGGATGGGAAGCACCTCAGGGGATGTGAGAGGAGATGGATGTCTGCAGGCAGGAGCTCAGGCAAACTCTGGGCTGAAAAGGGACGCTGAGTGGTCAATTCCACCTCTCAGCCATCAGTTAGGGCCATAGAAATGGACCCAGTCTACACTCATGAAATGAAAACATAGCCTACTTTGAAAAATCCCATCAAAAACCAGAATCTTCACTCAATAACTCATTCTACCATTTGATGACTTACACTGTCAAGAAAGTACTCCTAGTGTCTAACCAAATGTTGCTGAAATCTCTTCCATCTCAAAGAAGATTGAGAGCTGGTATCAACCTCCACATAAGGGTTTTTATACACTAAAATATATGAATTCTAAGTTATTCTCCGTAAGCTCAATCTCCAAACTCTTATCTGTGGGTCATTCTGTAAGTCTATTAGCCTGAAGACTTTGGAGCTAGAGAATATTCTAGAAAAGATATGACCAGTGATAGTTGTAAGGGAGGGCACTGCCTCACAATTCCTGTATTGTAAAGTCTTATTTGCAGCCCTGGGCAGGGATGCTCCAACCACAGCCCTACACTGCTGATGATGTTGGCCTCATCTTCAGCCCCAGCTCTTTCTGTTAACATTTGTTCATTCATAGCCACTTATTATACTGTGTAGTTATCCAAAGCCAGTAATATAATTCTCCATTTTCCACCGTGAACTTCATTCTGAGCACTTCCTCAGTTTATTGAAGCCATTTTTTTTTCTGGTCCCCATCTTACTACCAAAGATCACCCAGCAAAATTAAATGGCAAACTCTGTAATCACACATCTGGGCTACAGATTTAAAAATGAGTAACACAGGACCCAGAGCCAACCCACAGGTCCTCTTCTCTGGAACCTTTTACACTCAAGACCTTCTCCCACCATGCTACCACCTAAATCTGGTAAAAGGCACCTCGCTCCTTGACTGCTCATCTAAAGTCTAATTACTTCTACAGTTAGTGGGTTGATAGAAAAGAACTTAATCTACTGTAATGAGATAAAAACATAGCCAATTTGGAAAATCTCATCAGAAATCCAGAACCTTTCCCTGGCCATACCTTTTAATACTCTGATGTCAAGAACTCAGCTTAGAGCTCCTACTATCTAAAGTCTCCCCTCCACTAAAATCTCAGTGATCTTCTTACTCTGTTGCACAGAGTTAGTGTTGATGCTCCTTGGCTGTCTGTTTCTTATAGACAAGAATACGACCTCACTAACTGAGGTAAAATATCTGTCATCAGACTGTCAGAGCAAGTTCTGGATCACAGTTCATTTGAGTCTCCAGGCGACAGTATTCTACGTCACTCCCCAGTTTGGTGGTCACTTTCCCCACCTCCACTCTACCCTGTGAACAGCTCTCCTTTTTACCAAGGGGGCTTCAGAGAAGAGCAAACCAGAGCAGCAAACACACAGGAGACAGAAGAAACCTGCTTCAGCCTGAGAACCCTAAGTCAATTAAGAGTAGAGAGTAAAGAAGGAGACGAAGGTACATCTGATGGAATGGGGAGGAGAAAAGTCATCTGCATTGGAGTATGACTCAGGTAGAACAGGGTCTCAGCCATGTAACAAACTCCTCTCTCAATCAGCAGCCACAAACCAGTGAAGGCTGGCATTGTTCTGACTGGCATGCACTTGGGGACACAGTTCCGATTCACAGTGTGTCACCCTGACTGCAGCATTCTTCTCAGCTGCAGTGCTAGGTGAACTAAAATGACCTCTGAGTGGGAGAACCGGCCTGACAATCTGCAAGTCGGCTGACTTTGGCCTTGCGCCTACTGGGAGAGGTAAACTACTTGCATTTCCTGACCACACCTGCATTTACCTTCACTCGCTTGAGCTTTAATAACCATAACCTTCCAGCCACACCTCCCTTCTAAACAAGTCACTAAAATCAGGCTGTTCCTGCCAGTCAAGGGAGTATAGGAGAGTATGTTTTGATGAAGTCAGGTGGAAGTTAAGAGTACAGCAGAATCCCAGAAACACTCAGAGGAAGACAAAACCTACCCTAAACAGGTTGGTTCTCAATTGTTTTACTGTCTTTGGTCTCTTCCAGTATGTCACTTTCACATGCTCCACATACTTCTCTTTTCTAGAACTAAAATCAAAGCAGAATATCAAGTACCTGTCTTTGCAAAGCACTATATCATTCTCCTCGGTCCTGGTTTTAGAGAACATACTGCCTACTACACCATAGCCTTAAATGCCTTCTATTTCTGGAAGATTCTTGTGGTTGGCCATATTGCTTGTTTGGCCCACCTCCTTATTGGTTTCACTCTCTTGAGACCTTTATTTGATCATGATGCCTCACCCAAGCCTGGCAAGAGGTGCGCAGCCAGTTCCTTGCTTGTGGATCTGAAACCTTAACTATTTCTACAGTTAGTATTTTGACAAGCTTGGCCATACCTTTTACTATCTTCATTTTAAAAGCTCAAAAATGCAACTAAACTTTATCTTTGGAACTGGGAAAGAGCCTCTACTTCCATCACTGTACACACATTCCCAGAGGGCCCTTTCAGTGTCTGTGGGCACAGTGATTGCACGGAAAACCACGACCAAATGATTTCTCCCAGAACCTCACAGGTATTTCTTATAACAGCTGGTGGAATGCTCCGGACTTCAAAATGAAGAGGGACAAGAGAGCAGGAAACAGACCTCCAAGGCCCGATACAGCCGCCATAAGGGCCCTTAGGTTGGACACACTCTGCGTCTACTCCACTGCTGGTCAGATGTCTCATACCCTTTCCAACCGAAGAATTAGAATTGCAATTCTGTTGGAAACCATGGAAATGAAAGGCAATCAAGTGCCTGAAAATGCTTAAATATTTATTATCATTAAGCCATTTGTTTATACGGCAATTATGCTTTACCCGGACAACATATTATTGTGCTCACCGTGGGAAGAGAAAATGAATTTGGACAGAGAAGACAATGGAATAGCCACAAGAAAAGAGAAGAAAGGGGCTCTTGGACAGAAGGCCTCCTTTTTCCCGGACTGAGCTGCTCCAAGGTGGAGCACTGCCTGGGCTGGCGGGCTCGGGAGGAAGCATCTGTGTTCCGCAGGACAGGAATCCAATCTGCTCAGGCTTTGCCAGGGGCTAAAGAACAAGAGGACTGCTGGTGCCACCGTCTGTGGCTCAGGCCAGCCTCCCAAAAAGCCAAGGCCAGCCCTGTAATGTGTGCCAACAGACCTGGCCCTTCCTCTATCACGGCCAGGCTAAGCTGATACATTCGCTTTGCTGGCCGGACCCCCACAAGCAAGGACAGATTAAGCCCTACAGGACTTGACCTTTTAGGAAAAAAACAATGCAAGTCCTGGAACACCAACAGCAGACTGGAAAGACCAAGGGAAAGCATGTGGGGTTCATAAACAGAGCCTTGGTACCTTGTTTTGGAATAGTGGCCCTGGAACTTAGTGCACTGTGCCCACCACTGGGGCCCAGGAAGGGAAAGCTGGGTGGAAGGTCCAAACACACAAAGAGAGGCATGAGTACAAATACTGGCTAGAAGTCAGAGAGCTGACAGACCAGAAGCCTACTTTCTGATCATCCCCAGTGCTTCATGTTTCCACTTCCCAAACCGCCTTCTAACCCTGTATGTCTGGGTCCCAGTCACTGTGTTTCCGAAAATGGGAAGCACGAGGTCGGCCAACAGCAGAGTGGTGAAACAGCTGAGATGAACATCTAATGAAGAGATTAGCCCAGCCATGGGCTTGAGACTGTACTTCAGAAACAGAAGAAATAGAATTACTTTCTTGGAGCTGGGGGGAAGGACTGGGGCTATCAGAGGTTCCGCATACATTTAACAATCTATTTTTACAACAATAATGTAGCTCCCTAAAGAATCCCTGAATGTTGGACAACACTTGATTTTTCACACACACACACACACACACACACACACACACACACACACACACACTTTCAGGATCCTTGGTTCCTCAGTTATTCTAGCCACAGATAATCTGGCTAGTGATATATTCTCTCACCTGCTTCACGCAAAGCATGCTCTCTTTTTGTTTTTCTTTTTTTAATTTTAAAGATGTGGGGTACAATTCAGGGTTAGGAATACAAATGTTCATTATGCAGGTACCCTTGTTAATGAGGTGTGCCCCTCCCTTCCCTGGCAGTTTCCCTCAACTGCCAATTCTACCCCCACTCCCCTGGCAGTTTCCCACAACTGCCAATCCCTTTCTTATAGTATTATGATAATTTTTCAAGGTCCGCTTATGAGTGAGAACATGTGATACCCAGATCTTTGTTCCTGAGAAAGATCACTCAGTATTATAGACTCTAAGTTCAACCAGGTTGCTGTGAAGTTCATGATTTTGTTCTTCTTTATGGCTGCATAATATTCCATTGTGTAATGTACCACATTTTTTTAATCCAGTCCAGCTGTGATGGGCAGCATGGTTGGTTCCATGTTTTGCTATTGTGAATAGAGCTGCAACAAACATGCATGTGCAGGTATCTTTTTTGTAGAATTATTTGAGTTCCTTCTGGTATATTCCCAATAGGGGAATTGCTGGGTCATATGGTAGGTCAATTTCTAGTTCTTTCAGAAATCGCCACACTGTCTTCCAAAATTTCTAACCATAAATTCATTTTGCCTAGCTCCTTCTGACTGTCTCATGATGCTTATGTGAATTCTGACAGTGCCACTGGGCATCTTAACCATATTCTGCCTAGAGTCTTGCTTTCATGAGTGTGAGCACATCTCCTCCGCAAAACTGTAAGTACCTCAACCAAAGGTACGATCTTATCAAGGGTTTGCAGTAAGTCGATTTATACTTATTATCTGAGCGTTTAGGTAGAAAGATACGAAATCTAAGTACACCTATTTCGCTGCATCATTATATACAATAGCCAAAAGGTGGAAGCAATCCAACTGTCCATCAATAGATGAATAAGTTCATAAAATTTGGCATATGCATACAATGGGATATTATTCAGTCTTAAAAAGGAAAGAAATGCTAACACATTACAACATGGACAGAATCTTGAAAACATTATGCTAAGTAAAATAGGCCAGTCACAAAAGGGAAAATATTTTATGATTCCACTTAAATGAGGCTCCTAGAGTTGTGAAATTCATAGAGCCAGTGGTTGCCAAGGGCTGACAGGAAGGGGTGATGGGGAGTTAATGTTTAATGAGCACAGAGTTTCAGTTTTACCAGATAAAAAGTTCTGGAGATGGATGGTAGTGATGGTTGTACAGAAATGTGAATGCACTTAATGCCACTAAACTGTACACCTTTAAAAATGGTTAAAATAGTAAATTCTCTGTGGTCTATATTTTACCACAATAAAATGATACAAAGTCTGAAAACACTGTACAACAAACACATTTCTTCTCACAGCAAGTTCACTTTAATTCTGCTTGCAAAGGGGTATTTCTGGAACTCCTCCGCACGCAAGCTAAAGATGCCATACTTTTCCACACTTGCATGTAATTGCATTTGCTATTCCCCATGCCTAGAAAGCCCTCCCCACAAACCATCTGCCTGGTGAACTCCTGCTTTATCTTGAAATATCTGCTCAGACGTCTCCAGGTCAACTCCCCCTTCCTGTATCCTCCCACGGAATTGCTCCACCAATTTGGTTACTACAGCAATATGCAGGCCTCTCTTATTACTCACTGTTGATTGGATAATTTATTTACCCAGTAAGCTGTGCCCTTCTTGAGTGCAAGAAATATGACTTGCACATATGTCTCTAGCCAAGAAAACAGTACCAGGACACAGGAGGGTGATAAATGAATGTCAAATAAATTAACGAACACAGCTGACAATGGTTATTCACAGAGCAGGAGAAAAGATGATGCTATATACTAGCGCAAAGTAATAACTTAAGTTACTAAACCTGGATTCCATTCCATGGTACAAGGACTTCAGGAAGATCTGATCTCCTTTACACAGTTCACAGTTCATAGCACAGTGGGAAGCACTTTATCTATGTTTGATACAAGCTTCTTTAAATGACATAATGTAGAGTTGCCATTATTGGTCAAAGTTGTTTGCAATTATTTTACGGTATAGTTAGGAGTAAGGCATGGGAGATAGTCGTGTAGAAGAATTTCTGTTCTCTGGGCTACCCAATGCTTTGAGTTCCATCTCCTGTGCCTATGGAACAAGTCTGAGGACAGAGTCCCCAAGAGCTATGGCAGTCTCTGATACTGAGATGTAGCTCAGTGACTTGCATTGTTCATTTATATGAGATCTCAGAAATGCCAGCAAGACCAAAACCAGAATTGGGACTGAATCCAAATTCTAGAATATCTATGAGAATTCTCTACTGGGTAGATAAATTTATTTTCCATCTATATACCTCAGTCCCAGTATAATTTAATTTAGCAACAGACATATTACCTAACATTGGGTATAAACAAAAATCTCTATAATCTGCAAAATACTTTAAAGGAACTAGAGAAGCTACTTTGAAAGGAATACTGATTGTCATTGTATCATGGAGTATAGAACTAAAGTATCGTCTAATTCCAAAAATCAAGGAGCTCTAAAACTCAAATTCTAAATCCCATTTGGAATACCTAATTAAAAGGCAGAAGCTAAGACTCACACCTTAAAAATGTTCATTCAGCAGATCTGAGGTAAGGCCAAAAGTTGGCATTTCTTTAGTGCACATGGCAATATAGATCACACTATTCAGAAACACTATTCTGGGCCATGGAAGCATATTACAAGAGTGATTACACATTTTCATTTGCATCAAGAATTGCCACAGATGAAATCAATGCGTCTTGATCATATAGTTTTATAAGTGGAGCTATCATCATAACAATTAAGACATATATTCTTATTAAAGTGCTATTGTTATTTGCAGTCATCGCTATCTAAATCAAAGGCTACTAAAATCAGGCCAGGCTCAGTGGCTCAGCCTGTAATTCCAGCACTTTGGGAGGCTGAGGCCAGTGGATTGCCTGATCCCACGAGTTTGAGACCAGCTCGAGCAACTTGGTGAGACCTCATCTCTACATTAAATAAAAAATTAGCCAGGTGCAATAGCATGTGCCTGTAGTTCTGGCTACTTGGAAGGCTGAGGCAGAAGGATTGCTGGAGCCCAGCAGGTCAACACTGGGGTGGCCGTGAGCGTGCCACAGCACTCCAACCTGGACGATGGAGTGAGACTCCAACTCAAAAAAAAAAAAAAAAAAGCTACTAAAATCAAAACTAGTATTTTGAGAGGAAATTCTACTGGTGGTAGGTATCAGGTGTTCATATATTATGGCTGAAATAGTACATCAAAAAAATTAAGAGAAATCCTTGTGTCTGAAACATTACGGATCACAAATGTCAACCAAGATTTTCATCTTATAGATGAAGAAACCAGTGCCCAGGGATGTAAAAGACTTTTCCAGGTTCGTTAGCAGAAAACCCATGTCTAGAATCTCATCCCCTGACTTTTGGTTCTGTGCTTTTTGTGTTGCCCAACTTGTGTGTCTTTTTTACTAGCTCAGAACCATAGCTCCAGGAAATAAAATTTATTCACTCCTCCATTCATTCAATACATGTTTAATGAGCTCCTCCATGAGCATGTAACATCCATCTTATAAGAGGAAGCAAGAAGAGGAGGAAAAACCTATTGGAAATTAACCTCATAGGATGAGGAACATTCCCAGGCTCCTCAATGGAAAGCCTGCAATCTCTCCCCACAAAATTCTTTCCCACACTAATCACACTGCTTGCCCTCATTTCCTTTGTTGCTTCCATTCTGTTCTACACCCAGGGACACATATCAATAACCTGGGAAGGGTATAAAATACCAATGAAGCCAGGAAAACATGGTAAAGGGGCCTTCTGTATATTAGGAGGGCTTTAGGGCAGGAAAAATTCCAGTTCATTGCTGTCTGGAACCTTGAGAAGGTGGGAGAGAAGTTCATCCACACACAGATGTTCTGTGGGAGGAAGTCATGTTCACAGAACCCAGAGATCAGCATGATGGCAGAGGGCAAGTTAAACAGGCCCTCACATGGAAGATGCCTGTGTACTCCGGGGAGACCCTGAGTGGCAGCTTCTCCCTGGAAAGGAGACAAGACAGGCCCGGGAATACAGCCATCACTTTTCTCTGACTGGGAGCATGTTGATAGGTCACGGGGAACTGAACAATAACCTAAATGATTAAGGGGCCTGGAGGGGTGATTTATGATGCAAAATGAGTACCACTACTAACAATAATCCACTGCTTTCTGTAGCCTTTCTTCTGTCTCTCACAGCACATTAAAAACAAGTGTTAGCACCTCATCAACAAGGATACCTGCATAATCAACGTCTGTATACCTAACTCTGGATGGTACCCATCTTTATAATTTAAAAAAAAAAGAAGAAATTTTTAAAAAACCAGGTGCTAGAACCTTTTTCTATTCTTTAAGGAAAAACAGTGGCAGAGGTGGATGGCAAGCTAAAAGTATAAAATAAATTCCGCTAAATGGTTAATATAGTACATCATGCAAGTAGGAAGATGAAAGACACTCAAAGAATGTTCCCAGTATAAAGATAAATATTTAAGGTGATGAATATCTCAATTACGCCGATTTGATCTTTACACATTATATATATATATGTATCCAATTATCACATGTACTCCACTCAAATATGCACATCTATTATGCATCAATTTTTAAAAGTTGCCTTGGTGGTGGCGGAAGCACAACACTGTTCACATAGCATGATTCATATCTACATACACACACACACATATATAGAAAGAAGAACAAAAGTTTTCCAATATTTAGTAGAGTCATGAATCAAGAATTTAGGGTTTTCTTCCTCAGACCAGAAATGATAATGAGATAAATGATAAATCATTCTGTCTTTCTAAGGTTCAATTTACCTCTCTTGAAAATAAGTCAGTCAATCATGTTTAACAGAGCTCTCAGCACCTCTCACTATCTGCCACGCATCCCATACTCACCTTGTGAAGTTCAATGGAACAATTCACATGAAGTCCTCAAAGAAACCACACTGAACAGTACACTATTTCACAGCATTCTTAGTTATGTGTCCTCGAGCAAGCCACCTAACCTCTCTGGATATCACTCTTCCCTTCTGTGAAATGATGGTATTGGGTTAGATTATGTCTGAGACCCTTTCCAGGTCTAAACAGAACTCAATGTAATACAAACCTTCAGAGCTCTTGTGGGAAGAGTTAAATAGGCAGGTACACTTGAGGAAGGTGGGGCAACGTCTAGTAACAAAGAAACTGAGGTGACTGGTGACACCAGGTCAAATCCAGAAGCAAGGGACCAGGAAGGATGGGAAAAAGGATGCAGGCAGATGGGGAGGGTTCCTAAATGGAAATGAAACTGCTAGAGTTTTGCGTAGGGAGTAGGAGGGTGTTCATGCTTAAGGGTTTTTTAGAAGAGTGAAAAATAGAGGAGCAAATGTTGAACATAATCTTGGCACCAGCACTTAAGACTCAGAAAAGAGAGACACTAGAAATGAGAAATCTAGAGAAGACCAGGAACACATATCAAGCAGTAAGCTGTAGGAATAAAGAAAATGTCTGAATGAAGTCACTAAGAAGCAGAATGAGGAAATGGTCTCTAAATTCCTTGCTTGGAAAAGGTAGTGACGCTTCTACCAATGACAGCACAGGTGAGCACAGACGATGTATTGTATATTGAAAACGTCTATCTTGGTCTTGAAGAATCAGGGAATAGGAGTCAGAAGGGAATTTACAGGTCAGATTGCCATTCAGGAGAGATTCCTTTTTCTAATCTTCTCCCAAGTTCTTTAACCATTAATCTTCTTGCACAATGAGCAAGAGATAACAGAGTAAATTTGGACAACTTATGCTTGCGTTCATCCATTAGAGTCATAAACGATCCAGATTTAAGGGGTGGGGATAACCACATCAGGCAGAACTGATGGCCCCAATGAATATTCATGGTATTATGAAAGGTAGGATGAAGGTGCTTCTTGAGAAATGCTGAGGAAACTATTTGAGGAGGAGGAAAATAATAAAATTAGAATTGAGAGGGCTCTCAGAAGTCAGTGTTGTTTCTGACAAACAATTGGTCAATCTCTAACTGGATACTGGCAGCTCTCTTTGAAAAGTAGTTTCTTACAATGAAACAGAAGTCTACTCCCAGAAGTTTCCACTTATAAGATTCTCTAAAACAAAGCATCTCAAACTTGAATGTCATATGAATCACCCAGAACCTTGCTAAATTACAGATTATACTGCAGGTCTGGGGAAAGCCAAGGGCTCTTCATTTCTAACGTAGTCTCAGATGATGCTGACACAATTGGTCCATGGACCACACACTGAGTAGCAAGGTTCTAGAGCTAGAGTATTTGAATATGTTAGTTGTTTGAATTAATGATCTCCAAGGCGTCTTTCGGTGCTAACATTCAATGATTCCTACCTATTTGTTTATGTCAATATTCTGAGTCACATAAAAAGTGAGAAACAATGTATTTCTCAGAAACAACTACCTTAAGATGGCCAGAAATCAAACTCTAATATACAAGTGATAAAACTCTAATATACAGGCCAGGTGTGGTGGCTCACACCTATCACCCCAGCACTTTGGGAAGCTAAGGTGGAAACACTGCTCAAGGCCAGGAGTTTGAGACCAGTTTGGGCAACATAGTGAGACCATGTCTCTACAAAAAATCAAAAAATTAGCCAAGTATGGTGGTGTGCACCTATAGTCCCAACTACTTGTAAGGCTGAGGTGAAAGGATCGCCTGAGCCCAGGAGGTTGAGACTGCAGTGAGCTGTTTGTGCACTGCACTCGGTCTGAGCGACAGAGTGAGACCCAGACTCAAAAATAAATAAATAAATAAATAAAACAAAACTATAATACATACATGATAAAAATACAGCACCTTGAACCCAAGTTCCCAGGATGGTGGACAATCTGAGGAGTTACTGACTTCTTTCAAAGCATCATAATTACCTACTGTCAGTAGGTGGCAATATTTCCTTGGGGTCTAAGGGACTGTAAAACAGAACAGTGGTTCTCAGCCTGGGCTGTACACTGGAACCACTTGGAAAACTTCAACTAATACTGGTATCTGGATCCCAACCCCAGAAAGTTTTATTTATTGGGTCTGGAGTTCAGTCTGGATGCTAAGACTTTTGTCGACAGCTCCCCAGGGGGTTCTAATGTGAGCTAAGGCTGAGGACCACTAAAGTAGAGTGAGGCATAGCAGACCATAGAAACCAAAAGGCTAGTGCTGATCATTCCATCATGCCTAATTCCCTGCACCTTCCACTACCCACCAGAGCTGGTCGATGGACCACACGCTCTCTACTCCATCTCATCTTCCCTTTCAACCAATCACCTCTAGGTTACTCCAAAGTTGCACCAGATTTTACTTCCTCCAAATTCCTATAACGAATAAACTACTGTGAGACATGACCAGACCAGGCCAAAAAAAAAACCCAAAAAAACCATAAACACACCCTATGCAAAAATTCAAAATGCATCACCGCCTTAAATGTAAAACTATAAAACTTTAGAATTACATCATGAAGGAGAGTATGAGAATGAAAAAAAAAAAAAAAAACTTTTAGAAAGAAACCTAAGAGCAAATCTTCATAATCTGGGGAACTCTTAGATACCAAAAGCATAATCCATAAAAGAAAAAGAAAACTGACAAACTTGACTTCATAAAAATTAAAAACTCTGGAAGCCAACTTTAAGTGTAAATGAAAAGATAAGTGATGGACTAGAAGAAAATATTAGCAAATCGCTATCTGACAAAAGACTTGCATCCAGAATATATCACGGACTCTCAAAACTCAACTGTAAGACAGCAACCCATTCTCCAGTGGGAGGAGTGGAAAGGTGGGGGGGCAGGAGCAGGTGGCCAAGGGCTGTTGGGGAGGCCAAGCTTGGACCACCAAGAGAGGGTGACCTGGTGGGAGGCAGCATGGTATGAGCAGCGGGTGAGAACTTGGGTTCTGGGATCAGAGGATCCAAGTGCAAATCCTTCCTCTTTCACTCACCAGTTGAGAACCCCAGCAAGTGACCGTGACTTAACCTTCCCTTGCCCTGGTCTCTTCATCTGTAAAATGGGGATCCTGGCAGGACCTCCCTACCTCCCAGAGTAGGGTAAAGATTCAGTGAGGCCGTCTATGTAAAGGGCTTAGAACAACACCTGGCACTCAGTGGGTGCTCAAGACATGTTAGCAGTGATCGCTGCAGAGCCCGGGGCACCTAGAAACTTCTGCAGTGGGCCCACCCCACCCAGAGCCCAGCAAGTGCCCAGACAATGCAGACTGGAATCACCTGGGGGATCTTTAAAAGCTGAGAATGCCAAGGCCACACCCCAGACCAGCTAAGGCACAGTCTCTGGGGTGGGGTCTGGGCATCAGTATTTTCTGGAAGTTTCCCAGGAGTTTCCAATGCATAGCCAAGTTTGAGAATAGTCCCTTCTATGCTTTGTGTGCCTGAGGCCTGAGCTGGGAGAATCAGCTTAGAAAAGACACAGGCAGGCAATCATTTTGTAGCCAGAGGCAAGGCAAATGGGTGGGGGCGCCACCTCACCCCCCCCACCTCACCCAGGGGGCACTATGTCCCCCAGGGTCAAAAGGAAAAGAAAAAAAAATAGACAGCAGCCTAAGTAAAAAATGGGCAAAAGACTCAAACAGACACTGGATCAAAGAGGATACAGTGAAGGCAAATAGGCACTTCAAAAGGAGCCAATACATTTTGGTAGTTGATTCAGTGTTGCTGACTAACAGGAATAACTGAGACAGGTGAGACTCGTGCCTAGAAAAATAGTTTTTAAAATTATTTCTGCTCACTGGAATTTTTGAGGTCTGTATCTTGAGCCTCAGTGCCTACAGAAACACACCCAGATGATAGCTCCCTAAGACAACAGGCTATTCCCCCAAGTCTAGAATAATAGCCTCTGATGAAAAAAATGTTCAATATCATTCGCTGCTAGGTAAATGCAAATTAAAACCATGATAAGATCTCACTACACACATATTAGAATAGCTAAAATTAAAAAGAAATACAATGCCAAGCATTGGAGAGGATGCAGAGCAACTGGACCTCTCATCCATTGTTGAAGGAATGGAAAATAGCACAGCCACTTTGGAAAACTGCCTGGCAGTTTCTTATAAAGTTAAATGCACACTTATTATATGAC